CTCGGACAAAACTTCGACACCCACGCAGCTGTTTGTGGGTGTAGCTGAAAAGAGTGTGCGCGGTAGGTTTTGGTAAAAGAAATTATTGCGCAGTTGTTATAATCCGTTAAACGTAAGGTGGGAAACGTTAAACTGCACAGTTTTTTAAACTTGCGTAGCGTCCAGGGATCGAGGAACGCTTCTGTTTTATATCAAAGCGGAGCGCTGTTCATTGTGTGGGCGTTAAGCCGGAATTATCTAAATTAACTTGTCCACTTCGTAACACATGTGACGTACGAGCATGCGCGCTGCTCGAGAAGCGCTGTGTCCATGTGACAGAGAGTAGTAGTATAAATGGGCGCGGTTATGGGCATGCGCAAAGACAACAAGCTCTGTGAAAGAGCTCAGGCATATAAAAAATTAATGAAAGGAGACAAGTAAATAGAAAATCCTGCGGATTAAAAAGAGTGCATATAGGGATGGTTTCAGAGATGCTAGCGAGGACTGCCACAGGTCATATGACCACGGAGGAAAATCTTCCTCACATTTGTATCAGCAACCCTGCATACTTGAATTTGGTTTTCTCGTATGTTTTCCATATATAATGATGTTATGCATGTACATTGTTTTGGTCAGCTGATTACGACAGTACGCATAACTGCTTGCACCTTGTTGTGCGTACACTCCATGGGAATGTAGCATGACAGTACATGCTGGGCCTATTAGTCTGCGTTTACTCATGATCTCCCGCTAGTAGGTCGCTGACACAGGCTAGCTACAGTAGTAGATAGCATGCGGGATTCGATACACGGCCTTCGTTGTGACTTCTTGTGCCTCCGAGGTACACACAGCAAGCAGATCAGGTCGAGGTAAGCTAGTGCTAATTAGCATATTGGCTTGTTCAGTTAGTTTTCACGCCAAAACTGCTGAACGCGGCACTTTTACGAAAATCACCATTTTAAAATGAAGCCAGTGTAGTGCTGAACCCGTTGGTGTCGCTATCCACGTGGTGGAAGAAAACGTGGTAACAGACATACAGAAGGACAAACCAAGTACTGTAACCCTCGCTGCGCATGTGGCCCGAGGGTTCCTGAACGTCGTGGTATAGCTCAGGGTAAACCAAGTCCGATTGACTCGCCCAATAAGTTATGTTTTATTCCATTGCCTCAACTGTGATGCAGGGGGGATTTGGCTCCTATCAGTGTAAAGAGTCAAGGGTGAGTTTCAGTCAGTGTTTGTTGTGCTGGCTGTAGTATAAAAGGTACGATATTTGAAACACACATGTAAATGACTGGAAATACAAATGTAGTGAGCAAGTGTGTCCAGGTTGCTTTCATTGTTGCTGGTTGTACTCATGCAGTGTACTACAAAATTATGTAAAATGCATTAGGCATTGACGCTATTAGTGAACCAGTTTTTATGGATACAATCAATGCTTGATGAAATGTGTGAGACTGTGCCAAGCAAGAAATGAAGAGCACGAGCTCGGGTCATGGAAACGTGCTGTAACGGTTGCAGATGGTACGTGGCAAAGGCGTGGCTGACAAAGCAAAAATGCACATTCACCATCAGGAACTACCTAAACGGGGCTCTCCTCTATTACCATCATCTCTGCCAGAAAGGCAGTGACAATGTTATAGAGGAAGAGTTGTACAAGGGCACGTCCAAGTCAGCCGAAGTGTATGCTGCCCGTCTGACATTTCGTAGGGAGGGAATACAGGTTGCCGTCCACTGGCAGGACGCTGACTCCTCCTCGGCCAAGGCAGTCAGTGATGTGTTTCCTGATGCCGAAATAATGATCTGTGGCGGACATGCTGGGCGTGCCCACAAGAAAATTCTTCAATTACGATGTCAAAGATGATGATAGAAAAGTACAACGATACTTTTCCTGCTCTTGGTAAGCTGCGCTGTAAATGTGAGGGGGGCAACCACAGTCCTACATGTGGGTGCATGAATCCACCTATTTCCAAAGAGCACACAAATTTCTCATCTATTTTGATGGAGGCTCAGGAATTTGTGAAACGCCTGGAAGCACTGCCTTCACGAGTGGGAGGGAGGAAGGTGCGACTTCCACCCACTTCGGGTCTGCTCGTGCAAAAAGTGTAGGGACAAGCAACGAGTGTGAGGGAAAGCCTTACAAAACCAGAATGAAGCTAGATTGTGAATTTCATGCACTGTTGTATGAGTGCACAGAGAGAGCCAGCAGCAAGCTGGTTCCAAAACGTGGCCACTCTAATGCAGCTGAAGCCTCTCACAATGTATTGATCAGATACTTGGAGAGGCTTCACTACCACGTTTCCACCAATATCAGGCTGCTTCAAGCTAACATGAACGCAAAGTTTGTTACTAGTTATCATTGGCTCCCAGAGTTGTACCAATGGTTCTGACTGCGGGGTTCTGGCCATAGCCTATGCATTTGACGTATGCAGTGGCTTGAATTGAACCCTTGCAGTGTTGGTTTGATCACAGTAAGATCAGGCCACATCTGATAACTTGTCTTGAGAATTGCCAGGTTTCTAGATTTACTCTGTTGGGTGACAGAGAGAGTGCGTGAAATTTATTGTACGTTCGGCAGTTTTTCTGGGGAAGACGTTTCGTGTGATTCTCTCGGGAGTTTGTTGCCTTATAGCTACCACAGAGACTTGTTGCAGATGCAGATCGAGAGAAAAGTGATGCTGGGACAGTACCAAAGGTATATAAATACGTGCATGAATGTGTGTTTTCGCTGTGTAAAGCGGCCCGTTTGAAGACTAAAGCTTTGACCCCTGACCTTTTATTTTTGTGAGCAGCTGGCTCACAAAATATAGTTCATATGAAGTTGAGAAAAGGCTCCATGGACAGTAGTTGAGATATAAATACTTACTGCAGTCAAAACAGCAGCGATACGGGAGCGTGTGTGAGAGAAAATACACTATTGCGATGTAGTGCGATCTATAGTGTATACTTCTTCGGTGCACAGCACAATTTTCTACGACAATCGAACAACTTAGAGGACAAAGTCCTAGTGTTAAACTTTTCGGCAGATACCGCTATACATTTACATACGGTAACATATTGCGCTGTGTAAAAATGCGCACTATTGCTGTAGGCTGCCATACATTATGCTCCTGCCGACGTGAAGGAATGTACTCCAGTGGTGACGTCAATAGCAATTACGCATGATTGCATATTTCAGCCTCTTAAACTTTGTTTCTTTTGTTTGCTTTTTCCGGGGATGTAGTACCAGACCTTCCGGATGTACGTGCTTACCTTTTAGAATTGCCTGTAACCGTTAGCCCGCGTAGAGAATTCCGAATATGTGACTGTGCACGCAAAAACCAACCTTACGCCGCATTTTTGTGAAGTAGCGTTTTTTATATCGTTGTAAAGCTTGAAATGTGCTTGATACACCGCTTATTTTTGTGGGAAAACCCTTCAAAAGTTACGATTTTTCAAACGCGGGCCACGCGGGGTTATGCAAAACGCGAAATATTGGAATGAAATTTTTCCGTATTCTTGTCCGCGCACGAATATGACGTCACGTTACGGGATTTTCCGGGAAATTTTTAGCAACCAGAGAGATGCGGTGTGAGTGAGCAGTTTGACAGCAGACGAACGCTTCTATCGGCCCTACCGGACTGAATAGACTTTTCGTAGTCGAGAGCTAGAGATGCATATCCGTCTGTCTTTGCGCACACTATGAATATTCGGCAGCTGTAAAAGCAGCCGCCCACTTTCGCTCGCGCGCGTTTTTAGCGTAAAAAACTATGAGGTAATGCAAGGGGTGTGTCGTCCGTTGGCAGACGAAGAGATCATGAGACAGAAAGAGGTGAGTAGCGAGAGAAATAGTCGGTATATAATGTGGAGCACTCGCGCTCCAGACAAAATGGGCATATATATATATGCCTTCCGCGGAGAAGGCTTATGCGCACGCCCGGATATATATATGCCTGCCGCGCCAAGAGAGTTGATTATCATAAACATGGCTAACAACAACGCTATATCCCCTACTCAATTTATTAACACGGCTTTCATAGCCGCCTTATTAGCCTTTATTCTAGTTAATCAAAAATTAATTAAAAGATAAGATCATAAGCCAACCCCCTCCCAACCAATAAACAGTTGAACATAATTATCACTTGTCACTAAAACTATAGTACATAAACCGAGCAATATGAGGATGATCTGACATATAACCAGTTGAATAAATATGCACCAAGGCCGACACACTCGTTATTAATATGAGCATAGTTGAAGTCATCATTATTTCAAAATAGCAATAGCACCAACATAGACTATTAATAAAATTAATGCTAAAAATTCTACCTCCAATAAATTAAAAATGGCAGATGCACCAATAAAAGCCACAACCAATCAAAGTACAAAATGCACAGGATTAAGAGCAGATATAACCATTACTCCCGATATAATAATACTTCATGCAAATAGATAAAATAACCCTTCCACTTTACTCCTAAGGAGATTTGAACTCCTGTCTTACTTAATGTCTTAACCCCTAAACCATAGAAGCCAAGGGAGGAAATAAATAAGTGAAAAAAGAGATTTGAACTCTCGACCTTTGGTCCCACAAACCTACGCTCTACCACTAAGCTATTTTCACCTCCTCTTGAAATATTACAGAACTCTTTATTACATCTATTACCAAAAAGGCAAAAATACCCATTAACCCTTTACCGACCGAAGACGCATATACGCGTCATTTAAAACGGACGCACGTACAACCAAAGGCGCATATATGCGTCATCCGCACTTACCTGCCCACTGCGGAAGTTGAGATCGCTGGACAGCATCCAAAAACAACCTCTGCGTACCTCAGGCACGGCACTAGCTGTTCGTACAGCTTATGCGGGTTATTTTACCTAGGATGGGCGGGTCCACCGCGAAAAGACGCGCATGCGCCCAAACCGCATCATTGTACCAGCTGCCTTCGTAACCGCTGCGAGTTGTGGCTACTCCGCGGTTCAGTGTAGCGTAAACAACGGTAGATCACACCCCCAAGTGCAAGAGTGGGAGTGGCTGGTATGGCTAGTACACAGGAAGTGTTCACAGCAGCTCAGGTGGGTAGCATTCTTGAGGATGACACCGAGTTTGTTTTCTCTGGAAGCGATGATGACTTCGATGCTCTCCTTGATGAAGACCTCGACCCACTAGAGAGAGAGCAAGGTAATTTTGGTACATAATACAAGATAAAAACACGTCATAGTAATGAATATTGCATTTAGTGAGAGATCACACCCCCGAGCCATCTCCTGCACCATCAGAGACACCATCATTTCCTGGACCATCGCCTGGACCATCGACCCAGCATGCTACACTACCCACTCACAGCCGAGGTAGAGGAAGGGGTAGGAGAGGCAGGAGAGGCAGAGGGTCAAGACGTAGAGGTGGTCAGGGTTCATCTGCAGGGGTACGGCATCCATTGTCACCTGGAGGAGAGGAACAGGAATGGTCAAGCACACTCAACAATGTAGTTGTTGAGCCCTTTGAGAGACCAATTTTATACATAATTATTACTGCAGAGACCAATAGATATGCTGCCTCCTGTCTGGCATCCTCCAACCCCAGTAGTGGACCAGTACCCGAGTGGAGTACAAGCGAAGAGGAGATCAGAGCATACCTCGGATTGTCAATCCTGATGGGAATCACGAAGCTGCCAGACCTGTACGATTACTGGTCTACCTCAGATGTTCTCCACAACTTTGCCATTGCCTCTAGGATATCTCGGAAACGGTTTCTGGAAATTCAGAGGTACCTGCACGACTTCGCCGTGTACACTGGGAAGGAGGGAACAGTTCAGAAAGACCTTGGGGGTAAAGTTGTCAAAAACCTGGTGCAGCCACTCGCAGGAGGTCACTATCACATCTACTTCGACAACTACTTCTCGTCAGTTAAGTTGTTTGAAGACCTCCTGCAGGATGGAACATATGCATGTGGCACATACAGGAGAGACAGGAGAGGAATACCAGAAAACATCAAATGCACAAAACCAGGTACTACTAGAGGAATGCAATGCATTGTTGGCGAGCGAGTTTCACGCATGTTTTGGGCTTCGCTCCCCAATAATTCTACATCACATCCAAATACATCCTTACTTGCATTCCCTTCAGGAGATCTGGAGAGAGGAGAAAGCATTGCTCGTCAGAGGGGTAATCTGGTGGCAACCGTCTGGAGGGACCGGAGGTTGGTGTACGCAATGTCCACCAACAGCGACCCTACAACACCAGCGACAGTCCAGAGAAAAGGGAAAGATGGCACAACTCACACAGTGTCCTGCCCAAGAAATGTAGTTGCCTACAATAAATACATGGGGGGAGTTGACCATGCAGACCAACTCCGCAACTACTACCATGTCAGGTGCAAGTCCAGAAAGTTCTATCGATACCTCTTCTGGTTCGCCTTCGATTGTGCAGTTGTCAATGCCTTTATCCTCTGGAAAAACTACCAGCCCCTGACAGATGTGAGCGTGCGTCAGCAGAACATCAAACACTTTCGAATTGCGCTAGCCAATGGACTCATTGGGTCCTACAACTCACGTCAGCGGTATGCTGTCCCAACTTCGGTGAAAGAGGCCAGTATCCACAGCAGATGTCCACCACGAAAGAGAGCCAGGACAGCGAGCAGCACACCCATCACAGGGCCACATTTTCCCATCAAGGGCAACCGTGGAAAATGTTTCTTTTGCTGGAACATCAGAGGAGAGAGACACGAGACTAACGTGCGGTGCAGGCAGTGTGGCAAAGCCCTGTGCGTGGAATCGAGGGATCCCCCTGGCCCATCATGCTTTGAACGATACCATTCACACTCTCAATAACTTGACTAAGCCTTTCATCATCCCCCCTTACTTATCTGCACTCTGTAACCCAATGCAAAACTGAAGCAGCCATTACATAACAATCTCACCTTTTTCCACGCAGCGTTTGCGCTTCCTCCCCGCGCAAAAGAATATTATTAGCTTCTGTGCGAGTAGACCAGAACCTCAGGCAAGGTTTGGATCACATGATGGCCGAGTATCTGTCCAAACGCGGTACTGGTTCGCGCGAACGCGAGGGACGTCTCCACCGCGCGGTTACCGCGATATTCTGCGGTTATGCAGGTATGCGTAATAACGCGCATGCGCGGTCGGTAAACCAAAAAATTCCGCATCCGTTTTTCCTTGTCGACTAAAAATATCCTGTCTTTTTATCTTTACTCTAGTATCGTGTGTTAAGACTATTGCCCCAAAAAACCGACCCAATAAAAGTATAAAAAAAGAAATAATAAGCCGCTTGCCCTTTTTCTTCTCTTGATCCTCAAATTCCTATAATTAAAACCATTGGTATTAATACCCCCTCAAATAATAACCAGCAGATAAAACGGTCCCTAAAGAAGCTAATACCCCCACAACATAACTATACTCAAAAGCTGGCAATAATGAAAAGAATTCTCCTACAAAATTACAACTCAAAGGAATTGACGCATTTGCTAACACTAAAGCCAACATTAATGCTCCAAATAATTGCATAGTAATAACCATTCCCCTATAATATCTAACTAAACGAGTATGATGTCGTTCATACAAAAAAGTAACGGCAATAAATAAAGCAGAACTTACTAAACCATGTGCTAACATTAAAAAGATTGCCGCCACTAAACCCTGAACTGTATGAAAATAAACTTAAGGTCACCAATCCCATATGGGCCACAGAAGAATAAGCAAGGTCTACCTGTCGACAAGTAGTTAAACTTCCATCTAATAAACTTAAAATTTAAATTAAAGAAGCAAAAAACTCCGAAGCCTCTGGAAGTAATGGCCAAGAAAATCTTATAAATCCATACCCCCCTAAGTTTAATAATATACCCGCTAAAATTACAGACCCTGCTACCGGAGCCTCAACATGTGCCTGTGGCAATCATATATGAAATGGTATTTTAATAGCCAAACTTAACTCATTGCGCGCGGCGGATCTATATATAGATTCGTTACGCGGATGTTAGCCAACGCGATCGGCATATATATAGACGCGTAGGAACACTCACTACTCTCTTCGTCCTAGTTGCCGTCGCTAGTCGCTGGCACAGCCAGACTTGCTACACCTTTGACCTTTGAGTGGGCGCACAGTTTGCGCATGTACAAATAAAAGGCGGGCTGGGTGTGCGCAGCAGCTGCCCCACCTTCCGCGCGTATAATACGCGTCTAAGAGCGATGAATGCAGATCTGCCATGGAAACGTGGCCTCCTTGCGGCTCTAATATGACACTAGGCTTATAACACAGCGAAGAACGAATCTGGGCTTCGTCTGCGGCCTACACCAAGTATAAAACACGCAACAAAACGGCACGCACGAACTCGAAAAAACCACGCGGACGCGGTAATTCCACGCATGCGCATTAACGCGCGCAATGAGTTAAAAAAAAACATAAAAATAAGATATTGTAACTCTCTTTCATTTGTTGACAACATAGGGCTTGATAATCAGTAGTACCCACTTGGTCATATAAAAAAAAAACGACCCAATAAAAGTATTAAAAAAGAAATAATAAGCCGCTTGCACTTTTTCTTCTCTTGATCCTCAAATTCCTATAATTAAAACCATTGGTATCAATACCCCAAATACTATATAAAAACCCACTAAATCTAACTGTAAACACCCCCATCAATAATATTTCTATTACTAATAAACATAATAAAAACTCTTTTATTAAACATTTAATCGAATTTCGACTTATTAAAACACATATGGGAGTTAATAAAGCAGTTAAAATTTAAAAAAATAGACAAATACCGTCCACTGCAAAAAGAGCTGATCCCGGAACTCACTCGAAATTTTTAATGGCTTGAAATTGCCCTTCCCCATCAAAAGAAGCCCATAAAAGAATTGTTGCTGTTAATGTTAACAAAGATCACTCTAAAGCAACTTTTTTAAATCTTATATCATCCTCCCTTATTAGGACCAATATATTTAATATACCTATCACGGGAAATAAAACTACTAATTCTAACATTCTTTCTCTTAACATCAAGGAAATGAGACTTGAACTCACAACCTCCTACTCCCAAAGCAGACAATCCACCAATTGATTTATTCCCTGTAGACAACCCGATGAGAATGGGACTCGACCCCATGCAAAGCCAAAACTTTAGTAATTTAGCAAACTACCACCTTACCCCCTCAGTCATCTCATCTTAAGGAAAGATAAATCTTTGCACACTTTAAAGCGCGAACAAGATTAAAAAGGCCATCATTAAACAAAATAGCCCCATAGCCTCTGATATCGCAAACCCTATTAATTGACTATTGATTGCGCTACTTTATCGCGGTCAGAGTTACCGCGGCCATTTAATTGTTCTTAGTTAAGCAACTTATTTTATTGCTCAATTTTAAATACCTTGGGCGACTGTGAGTGATAGAGAACAGACTGACGACTGTGAGTGATAGAGAACATACTGACGACTGTGAGTGACAGAACAGGCTGACGACTGAGTGACAGAGAACAGACTGGCGTCTGTGAGTGACAGAACAGGCTGACGACTGTGAGTGACAGAACAGGCTGACGACTGTGAGTGATAGAGAACAGACTGACGACTGTACGGATAGAGAATAGACTGACGACTGTGAGTGACAGAACAGGCTGACGACTGTGAGTGGTAGAGAACAGAGTGACGACTATGAGTGATAGAGAACAGACTGACGACTGTGAGTGACAGAGAACAGACTGGCGACTGTGAGTGACAGAGAACAGACTGACGACTGAGTGACAGAGAACAGACTGACGTCTGTGAGTGACAGAACAGGCTGACGACTGTGAGTGACAGAACAGGCTGACGACTGTGAGTGATAGAGAACAGATTGACGACTGTACG